TAGATATCATTTGTTAAATTCCTCTCCAACATCTGCTTATGCCATAAAAGGGGAACTATTTTTCCTGAATCATCATTGCTGGGTTCCTTTCAGCTTCTAAAAGGAGTAAGTCAGGGTCGTGTTCTAGCAAGCTGAACGCAGTGGGACCTGCGCCTTGCTGATAAGCCACTGTGAAATAGGATAAGCTTGCTTCCAAAGTAGAAAAGATGTGTAAAAATTGAGAGGTGTGAATTTCCTCTGCGTTTTAAATGAAATTAAATCTCTGTGGCCACGTGGTATATGACTATCTAGCAACCACATAAACATCAGGGTCTTCATTCACTGATGTTAGGCCAGCTGAGGATCTGGCCATAATACCAAGCAGCATCCAGAGAGTATTAGCATCAGTGCTGATCTTTAACTTATTCCTAAATTAAACATAAACAACTGCTGTGAGTGTAGGGTTGTTAACTTGATAATGGTCCAGGGTGTACTTAGTTTTTTGGGGTTTTTTTTAACTGTTTCATCCGGGTGAAGACAATGGGTTAAATCCTAGCTTCTGTTTCACATGCTATGTGCCTCTCCAGCAGGGTAAATAAAAAGCAGAAAGACAGCTTTCCCATTCTACCTTTGGCATGAGAGAACCATAAATGGTATAGAGCCAATGAAAATGTGAAGGTGGGGCTGGAAAATTTGAGGAAGAAGTTAATTGTGGCAGCCTTGCACTCCAGATATTTGGAGTAGCTCTAAAGACAGCCAGCCCTATTGATTGTCTTTTCAACCAGGGGCCTAAGGGAACAACCTCATGGGTTGCTTAATTGGACTGGGAGTCAAACTTCTCCCCTGGCCAGCCCCATAATTGATAAGGTGCAGGGGCAGTGTAGAGCAGAGATGATCAACTCCTGCCTGTAGGCTAGATCCAGCCCACAGAGCCATGTCATCTGGCTTGCACAGATCCCCACAGGTCTGGAAAGGGTGGGGAGCAGTGGCAATGAACACCACTGCCTCTTTCCCACTGACAAATGTCCAAGCCCCATGCAGCTGCATCAGGTCCTGATCATGCCTGCCCCACATGGCTGGATCAGGCCCCAGCTGGGTCATTTCTGTGCAGCTAAATAGGGCTTGGCTGAGCCAGCACCGTGTCATTCACCCCCTGGACTGACCTGGAATCTCTCATCTGGCCCTCAGGGCAAAAGGGTTGGACGCCACTGGTGTAGATCCACCTTTTGAATAGGGTGACCGCCTTTTCAAAATGCAAAAGCGGACACATGAGGCAAGCAGCTGGTTATGGGGGTCATGTGGTGCAGCCCTGCTGCCTGCCCCAAGCCCACAGGGAGAGTGCATCTCCCCTCCCGGCATGGTCACTGCTATCACCAGTCCCAAGGAACAGGTTGCCCACAGACCCTACACCACCCAGCCAAGCATGCACAGAATAATAGGAGTGGATGGGCAGCAAGAGCACTCCCCTGGCACCATGGGGGCAAGGGCAGGAGTTGGTGTCCTGCCTGCTAGGCATCCTCCTGGCTGCTGCTGCCACTGGATCCAGGCTCGGCACTCGTTCCCTCCGTTACCATCTTCCCACTGAACAGGGGAATCTGGGACAAATGCTGTCCTGGAGTCATTCAGCCCGGGACCGGGACTCGATGTTTCCATTTTGGGACTGTCCCATTCAATTAGGGATGGGTGGCCACCCTACTTTTGAAACGTGTTTGGGTTTTTTTGCAAAACACTGCTAAATTCAAGTTTCTAGCTGCCTCACTTGGTTACTCAGACATGAGCCATACCTCAGCATCCTCCACTTCACAATAGATACTGTCTTATCATGAGAGAGTCTCTCTCAGTTTGTTGGTTCTTTATCTGGGACTGCTATTCTGTTTTTTTAACAAAGCATAATAGATTATCTTGTTAGGCAGTCCAACATATGCCAATATGACAGAAGGGAACAAAGTGCATTGATTGGTTTTTTTCATCCATTGTATTCTTTCCTACCTGCACCCCTTCCACCATCTTTTAGGTGACTGTGTTGCTCCATAGGAATGACCCTATGGAGACAATACCCTTCCCAACAGGATCACATACAGTCAGTTACTAGTGATCACATCAGACTTCTGTGATTAAGCAGAGCTCCTGTTGTTAGGGTGTGCCAGATGCTCCTGGCTTTATGTACTCAATCTCTGCAGATAGGCAGCCTTTGATTAATTTTTTTTACCACTGCTTAGCACGAAGACAAATTCCCACTTTCAAGTCTTCCTGCCTGTGGCAGGGGGTCAGGCTAGATGATCTGTTCAGGTCCCTCCTGACCCTATCTACCATGATACTATGAAGTCTCTCAGCTAACAGTTCCCAATCTGTGGTATGCATATCGCCAGTAGTATGCAGACAACCTGTCAGCGGTACGCATTAACAGATTTATTATAATGACTTTATATGACAAAAATTTGCTGGTGGTACTTAAGGTTGTATCGTTTTAAATTGGTGGTGCGCAGTCTGTCAGTTTGGGAACCGCTGCTCTCTGCTAATAGTTGCTAGAAGTACCACAAATACAGCCTGCTCTGGTCCTAGAGAAAATGTCCCGCATTGGCCTTGAATGTCTTTGGCTAATGTAGACTGATATTTCAGGACTCTCTTCACCTGAGAAAAGAAAAAGAGAGCACGGAAGGGACAGAGCAAATCCACAGCCATTTTGTTCTGTTTTCCTTAAGGGAAGCAAGGCAGGTACCTGAATTTTTGGCACCATTTCTCTGGTGACTATGAGTGCATATCTGCAAGTTGAAATGAGGATTTATTTTCTGAACAAAACCTGTGTTTAATGTGAGAATGTTTTTCATTAGTCTATTGTAAAGAATGGGAGTACAGGCTTGAAATTACCCCACAGCAATTAAAACTTCAGCACCTCAGTCTTTGAGGATATATTGAGTTGATGGCATGTGCAAAATTAAAGTTTTACATTGTCCCTCCAGGAAATATTAGCTGCTTTCTGTTTTTTTTGGAAAGCTGAGAAAACTGCAACAGAAGCAGAGGGTCCTATTGCTCAGTCTGAGAGTTAAACTAAGGACACATTAATATTAGGTTAGAACAAAAGGTTAGTCAACCCTGCCATTGAGAACAGTTTTTTTCACCTTCTCTGTTGACGTGGATTTAGTGCAAGAAACTAGAAACGTGCAGGCCAAAAACATCAGTTTTCTCTTTCAGGGAGCTGTTGGGAGGTTCTGTACTCTAACAAGGAAGCTGCTTGAGGTCATGGAAAATAAGGGCACAGTAACTATTACGGTTGCTTGTATGTGATCATTCCCTGTGGTTTAGTATAAATGGACAGTGAGGGGAGGGAAGGAAAAGCACTATATTGAGGTTTCCAGGATAGAGCTTGATCGTGTTTAGAACATGTGTGCCTGATGCTGCGGTATACATTCCCAGCAGCAGATGAAGAGCTGGTCTGTGGGTGGCTTTTGTTTACTATTAAAAAGCTATGCAAGATGGCAGTCGGAGAATGTGAAGGGGGAGCTGTGATAATTATAGGCCTGGAACAGCTGCTCAGAAGTGTCCCACAGGCAAACACTTAAGCTGCATTATAGTCTTTCTGATGCATCCTTTTGCTTGTAGCACTCTTGCACTCAGCTGGTTTATTTTTCATGTTCAAGCCTTATGAGCAATTAGGGTATCAGTTAATACTACTTGTGATATGCAGGAGAGAAGGCTGCATTTCTATCATGGAGAAAGACCCACCTGAAGTTTCTGCTATTTCACAGATGAGAGAACACTTCTTAATCTAGACCCTGGGGTTTGATTGTCCTCTAATTTTTGATGGTGTAAACAAGCAACTCCATTCAATTAAGCTGAGCAAAATAGAAAGCAAAGATAATGTAGAAATCAGACGTATACAGCATTCTGTTTGTCCTCCCTGAATGGGAAAGTATTGTGGGGGATTTGGCAGGCAAGCAAGAGATCATTAGTCATTTGTTCAGTATATCCAGTGAACCAGGGAACCAGCACTTACTTTTCAGGTATGGACAAGCAAACAGAATAAGATAAAAGTGGGGAGAGGGGTCTTACACCACTGCAGCTGCACTGTGGTAACTGTGTGTCTGTGAGCAATTCTTCCCCACTAAGTGAAGACTGAACCACAATTGCTTTGCCCTCTTCTGTTCCTGGGGGGCGACCATTGCTTAGCTCCCACCTGCCTCAGGGTAAGAGCAGTTTCCCAAATAGTCACTGAGATGCAGTAGAAGCCCCCCCATACCTCACTGTAATTGGCAGCTTGCGTGTTTGGGCCTCAGCCTGGCTGTCCTAGTTCAACATACACTGTGCAATGTGTGTAAGATTAAAAGCCTTCATTTTCCTGGATGTTTAACTACTCAAATACATGGCTTGTATGTATAAGGGACCTCCCCACACCATATAGTCTAATGCTTCTCTGCGATGCTCTTGTAAACTCATAACTCCAGAACCTCTTCTGTGTTAGTCAGCCCCATTCCCTACAAAAACTTTTGTTGAAAACAGTGCAAGGACTCCTGACCTATCCTTTTTCTTCATATTGCTCTAAAGAGGCCACACAAATTGTCAGGTTAACAAAGAACACAGATTCCTTCAAGCAAGGAGAAAAATGTTCCTTCAGTCCAACCCACCGTCTTTGGCCCTGGCTTCTTTCTCTCTGCCTGACTCTCTCTTTTCTTTCTTCCTTTCTTTCTCTCTCTCTCTCTCTCTCATACCTTTCCAACAACCAGCAGCAGCAGTAGCAATCTGCTTCTTTTCTCTTTAGGTTTGGACTGATGTGGACGGATAGGGTGAGGCTACATCTGTTCTGTGGTTAAACACAAGGCTTTGTTCTCCAGCACTGACAATCTGGCATCTAAATAGTTGGTCTGACAAAGTCCCGATGCTTAAAGCAACGTAACAAAAATATTTTTGGAGACCAATGATCATTACACCATAAGTATATTGGATCTGAATATCCTCTACTGAATTCATCACACGTTGCCTAGGCTATGATACCATATTTTCACCTTCTTTTCTTTTTTTTTTAGACTACTACCTCCTGATAGCTGATGAACCCACCTCTCCTAAGAAGCCCAAGAATGTCACTGAGCTTTCTGACTTTGAGAGCATTTGCCCTTCCCTCTCCCCAGAATGGGCCTCCGTGAGAGTCATCCCAGAGGAAGAAATGACAGAACGCAATCTTATGGCCATCCGTGTCATGGTCACCAGTGATGGGAGCAGGTATTTGATGATATAGTAACCACACCAAAAAAACCCAAAGTTGTGCCGTTCTCTGAGGAATAAGTTAACCATAAAGTACAATGTTTTTTTCTCAGAGTGTGGTCTCAATATGTTGCTAATGCGGGGAAAGGGAAGGAAGAGAGATTAATTTAGTCTTTACTGGAGACTTTAACTTCTCCTAGACTTATGACTCTCTTTGCAGGAAATTGTCCGATGTTCACATCCCACACAAATGCCTGAGTCAGATGGAATAATATTGTCCCTGATCAAATCAAGTTACCTTTTCCATTTTCCAAAAACAACAGTACATACATTAGAACAATGGGAGTATTGTGGCAAAAGGTGTATCACTTGCCATGCCTCTTATCAACCTTTCCCTGCCTTGCTTCTCTATCTGGGCATATGATGGGCTTTCCAACCTTATGTAACTAGAAATCTGATGATCCTTGGAGACTTTTGTAATCAAGCCTAAAATTTTACATAGAGAAGGCAGAGAATGTATTAGTCTTCTTGGATGAAGTTTTGACAGGAAGAATCCATTTATAGCTGTATGATTCAGGTTAAGGCAGTATTCTTCAATGGAAGCAATTATTTCTATTGATAGTTTTAAAAGATAACAAATAGAAAATGTTTCTTTTTAGTAAAGAAGCTTTCTAAAATTAAAAAAATATATTTGAATGATACTACTAATCTTTAAATAGTTTACTAAAACTGGATAATATGTTTATAAAATGACATTTGTTTTTTCCTGTTTATTTCCTTTATTTATTGTTATATATCATCAGTAGCACCTTCACATATGCCTTGATATATCAGTTAATGTACATTTTAGGGAAAG